CACTGTATCAATAAACAAGTGCATAAGTTAAACGATAAGGAAGTATGAGTTGTAACGACAATTATTGGTTTATTTACCAAATTGCTCAAAACAAATTCTGTCTTCGCGTGTGCTTAGATATACCAAAACATATTATCAGCAGTAGCCTTTGAAATTATAAAAAACGTAAATAAATATTCGGCGTTTATTGTTTATTATAGTTTTCTGATCAGATTTCGCAAAATCCAAATATTTATTAAGTTAGGCATGTTAATCATTAATAAATGGTAATAAAACTAAGTAATCTTTATTATCCTGGCCAGGATCAGCATAAGGCTGTATTTTCCTAACCAGCTCAAAAGAAATGAAACAAAACTAAAACAATGAAATGAAAAATACAGATTAATTAATGCAAAAAAATCGTGTTACAGAAAAAAAATGAGGTGATCCTCCATTTAACTCATTTAACTATAGGTATCTACCATCATTTTCGATGTTCAAGGTTTCAAAGAAGTAGTACATTTTTTTAAGTTATTATCTTTTATTTTACTTTTGTTACTATAATAATAAAAATGAACACACATCAGCAGCACCGTATCATCCCAATATCACTCAAGCATTTCATGTGCGATAACAATCTTGATTAACCTTCAAGAATTGTGACAACGAGTACGTTATCTGAGTGCGACTATAATCTAAAACTATTCATAAAAGCGGTTATAAAAGACTTCACCACCGTTTGTCAAAAATTATCAAATGGATCCCAGAATCTACTTTCTTCATTTATTGCAAATTCACAAATATCGAAAAAATAAATTCAATATTGTATCTATAGTGTCAGTTGTTTCTACAGGAGGTCCACAGTTCATTACGCCGTGTTATTTTTGTCAAATAGGAAGATAATGATCATGATGAAAGTAATTTTGTTAATGCAATAGTCCAGTGAGTAATGATACCGAAATTAGTAACAGGGCGCTGACCTAATTCAAATAATACCTATTGTGTGGGGTAACTGAACAAACTGCCAACATCTATTGAACAATTTTACTTTTCCTACGTATTTTGCACTTTGACGGATTGTTTAACTGCAATTATCCCCGATGGAATTGACATACCTACTGAAAGGTATGTCAGAATTGTATAAAGGTACAGAAGAAAAATGGGTATGATTGAGAAACGATGCCAAAATGAAATTTACATATTGCCATAGTTAATTATAGAAAATTAAGTACATTATAAGTTCATAAAATGTGACCTTTTTTTATTTTATCTTATGTATTTAAATTTAGTAGATATCATTATTCACTAGTTTTCTACTATTACTTATACCTTTCTTGGTTTACGCTTTGCTTTTTTTTACTATAGGGTTTTCCTTTATTTTATTTTGTTAATTTTTTTGTACTCAAGCACAGTTGGGAATAAATATTATTATTATTATTATATTATAAAATGTGTACTTGACCTTTTGAGGTAATTTTTTGTGACCTTTTGGCACATTTCGGGTGGTATCTCGACCATTAACTCGACGAATTTTTGTTTTCAAATGTTCTAAAGTTAGTTGATTGCATAAAGCCGATATTTTGCGTATCCTCACAAAAAAAGTTCAATGGCGTCAAATCGCTAGATCTCGGTGGTTAATTATCAAAACGTGAAATTAGACGTCCATCAAACTTCTCGCGCAATAGACCCCAAATGTCGTGTTGTGTGGCTTGTTGCGCCATCTTGCTGGAATTGCATATCGTCCAAGTACATAAAGTTGTTTTCTCTTGGATGTGTAAAGTTCTTTTTCGTCCATAATAATATTATAATCTTTATTATTGCCTTGTTTAATTTGTAGATATGCTTTTGTGTACATTATCGAGGTGAACAGCTATCATTTAAGGTTGCTCGATTTATTGTTTTCATACTGCACGTTCATCCTTTGATTATTTTATTTTATCAAGCTTTTGTGGTTTGCTGTATCAGTATTTCGATTAATTACCTACTATTTATTTTCACCGTGCTATCAAAAAAGTAATATAGGCGTATGTGCTCTTTTTGGGTCAAATGGTAAACGTAACATTTTCGCTTGCTTAGAGATACATGGGAAATCCAAAAAATTTACAATTTAGATTGACGTATTTTTTTTTAGTTAAAAGAGATAAGAAACATGTTTAATATAAAAGTTTGTTTATTGTCGTTGTTTAATAATCTGTCGTTTTCAGAAATAAATATAGTTACAGGATCAGATAAAAAAGTTATAGAACCTATTCTCATTTTTTAAATCGAACACCCGGTATATTTTAATCAGAAGATTAAGTGAAAAATATAACACACCCCAGATGATATTGGTTTTCTATGCGATTTATTAAAACCTTTATTACTTTAAACTTTGAATGTAAAATTAGTTATATTCAAAGATTTAAACCACAATTCAGGTTAACACTAGAGGCACTGGTATAACTTACAAATTGCGTGTATATAGGTGATAGCGGTTTGTAAACATGGGGTTTTAAAGTGAAATTGTACTAATTTGAAAGTGAATTGAATTTATCCTGCCGGTTTGGATACTTGAAAATATAACCCCTTAATCCTATCCTACCTGAAAGGCTTTCTTCTTAAGAAGGCTGTTTTGAATTAGGTTGAACACGCAATTAACTTGATTTTTTAATAAAAATAAATATCACAATTTATCATTCAATTTGTAGCGCACTCGTACGGCTGTACAACAACTCGCCGACATTCCCTTACGTCGATTATGCTTTAAAACAGCCTTACTATTCGTAGCACAATTACACTGACCACAATTTTAAACAATCGGTATTTTTCGATGTGCCGTGGTTTAATAAATGACTGGTCACATTTAAAATTTTTGGAAGTATCGTGATAACATCTGACGTTTTAAATTATTCTTGCACTTTAACGTGTAACTACATTGAATGCAAATGAAATTTTTGCAAGTACAAATATTTACTTTTACAGTGGTAGAAACTACACTATTGATTACTTTTGGCGACTGTAAATAAACAAAATGGTGGTCTTATACCACCAATAGCAATTACAGGTGCCACCGGAGGTCTGACTGTTAATCTGAAACACGACTAGAACAAAACAAAACAAAAAACTGATGTTACAGTATCTGCCAATTTGAATCATTCCCGCTTTTATGGATCTAATTTGGGGAGAAAAACGCAAGTTACGGCACTGAAAATGTTTTACCCGCGCAATTAAACAATTCAAATTGTACAAGGTTGCAAGCGGGAGCGCGTGTTTGTCGAGGCGGGAGATTAATTGTGGTATTCAGAGTATATGTGTTTGATTCGCAAATCTAGGTAGATGTATCCTTTATTTTCTACTTTGTAATTACTGTAATTAACATAGGATGTGGGGTAATTGTTTTGTATTACTTGCGTGTAGGTTTAATAGAGCGTTCTGCTCAAAAGCTTTTTATCTCTTGCTTTTATGTGTACCAAATTTGGTTCCAATCGGTTCAGCCGTTTAGCCGGAAATGATATAGTACATTCCTGGTGCTTCAAAACGTGTAATGTATTACCCCAATGCAATACCTCCCTCACTAACGTGCGGGTGCTAAAAATACTCTGCATATGCATTCAACACAAATGTGTTTGTGGCGAACAAATTTCAGAGAAAGGTCATGAATTATCTGTTACAAAAAGTGCCGGAAGACACTCCCAAACATCATGGAATCAACGGTTTAGTTTCTAAAGCTCCTCATTTGATTAACATTCCTGCTCAACTTGGACCCATCAATAGCCTTTGCCAAGACGATGAGAACATGTAAATGGAATGGCTATATGATCCCATGGATGTATGGATCGACAATCTCTCTTGTGGGACGCCCCACGCCTCTCACATTAAATTCTCTAGCACTGAACTATGAAAAGTACCAAATAATAACACTGCTTTGATAGGACCTTTCTTGCGTCGGCAATGGCGTCGTTTTTTATGCCTGCACCCATTCGTCTCACGCTCACCCAAAAAAAAAACAAAGGATAAGGTGGGTATCGTCGGGGCCGAACATACCCTTCTTATGTGCCTTTCGAAATCCGCCTAATTAAATTTGTTACTTATTATTTTTTATTGTAGGTACTTATTACTTGAAAATATAAAATATAATGCTAATAAACAAATTAGATGGCGCTCTTTCGAATTTTAAAAATAACGATATTCAAATCGTGACCCTGATTAGTCAATGTCCAAACGTCGGCGCCGCATGTTAAATTACGAAGGCGAGGTATCAGCTTTGTAGATGTAGCTTCTACAATTTTACTGAGAATTAAATTGTGATAGACTATATTGTTTGGAAGGTAGCTAACGTAATCACTTTTACTTTTTGGGTCTCCTTAGGTACAGTAAGAAAATTAGTGGTATAATTTTAATCCTCACTGAATGAAGAACATAGTAAAACTAACAAAATAAGGTACCTATAAGTATACTTATAAAATTATAGTGCAACTATTTTTAAATGTAAGTAAAGGGCACAGGAATGAGGAAATGTTATAGTGATTTGAATTTGACACTTTATTCTGTCATCCACTTGTTCTCAGGCCGTTTCACACTTGGCGGGCTGTATGTTCACAACTACTCGGATAGTGGCCAATGAATGAATAAACAAAGCCAATACCCTTGGACAGGCTCAGAAATCTCAAGCATCCATCGGCATCAGTTGCAGAAAATTTATACAAGCATTGTGAAGTACCTACATGCAGCTCTTTCTCATGACTTCCATTTATTTGCAAGTTACAAATGCACCAATCACCAATCAATTCGCGACTTTTTCGCTACTGTTCCGAATCTAAATATGGCCAAGATACGAAAACTAGGAAATTACATTTAATTATCAATCTTACAATCGTATATCGTCGGCGCCCTCATTCGTTTTAATTTAATCTAGTCAAAACAGAAATGAGTAGCACTACACGTACTTTGCACTCGCGATAACGAAAAAAACGTAATACAAATCAAAAACAATCCCTTATCAGAGAGGTATTTAAAGCGTTGTAGATTTGAATTATTTTCAGTTCGCGCTAGACACGAATACGACTATTACCACAGAATAAAAGTAAGAGTACGAAAGAAAATGGCTGCCGTTATACCTGTTGTGACCAAGCTGTCCTCTCGAATTATACGAATTTTGGGATGCAATCCTGGACCTATGACTCTTCAAGGGACAAATACTTATATCTTGGGCACTGGAAAAAGGTAAATTCGTTTTTAGTGCTTTTGTTACCTATATAGGCTATTGTTTAATCGATTGCGCAGTATTTAGTTTACACGTATGCAACACCCATTGCTTTGTTTCTTAATTTGTCTTGAATAACGCAAATTTCCCATCACCTTTAAAGTTGATTTCATAATTCATGTTTTTATGAGATTTGAGTCAAGGTACCTATTTATTTATTAAAATAAGAAATAGTCTATTCACTGTTGTAATAATTTAATAAGTTATACTTATATACATTTCCGCAAATTTTTGGATACCTTATTCTTCGTCACCCAAAATCATGTTTTCCTGGTTCACTCAATTTTAAATGTTAATTTGCAAATGTATGACCTATGGATAAGTACCTACCACTGTTTTGCTGGTAAATATTCAAAAGAGCAAATTGTGGATGTTGTGATTCTTTTTATGGTAACATAGCTACGAAAATCAAAAGTCTTGATGGATCTCAGCGAATGTATTTGGGGAATTTACATTTTTACTAAGCATTACCCTCATTGAAAGCTATTTTCAGTTACCAACTCTTCTCTTCCTTCACAATCATAAGTCATGCACTCCCGCATGTCTACTTATCAGTCAAGTTGTTTTTTCACATGACTTCACATTACATAAACAACGACCGTCATAAGGTCAATGTAGACTGCATGTAACACTTATTTATTAAAGAAATCAGCTATGATTAATAGGTGAAAAAGGTCATGCACGCTGTAGTATAGCTTGTGGTTGGGTTTCAAGGGGTCAGACAAATTATCTAATAAGTAGCTAATTTAGACAGAAGAAGTTAATGCATGAATCATCATTCTTTCAGGCGAATTCTTTTGGATACCGGCGAAGGCAATACCCCACAATATGTCAACAGCCTTAAAGCAGTTCTCCACAATGAGGGTTGCACTTTATCACACATTTTCCTGTCTCATTGGCACAACGATCATGTTGGTGGTGTAAAAGATGTGCTGGACCTCATCAACTATACCTGTAAGTACCATTCATCTTTGCAAATTCGTTTGCTAAGAACATTTTTGCAGCCGATTGTGAAATATGGAAGCATCCCAGAAAAGAAGCTAATGGGAAAATCAGCAATGAGGATATCAAAATTAATCAGTTTCAAGATGGTCAAGAATTTGCAGTAGAGGGCGCCACATTACGTATTATACACACCCCCGGACACACAACAGACCATTGTGTCTTTCTTCTATTAGAAGAAAATGCTATTTTCAGTGCAGATTGCATTTTGGGCGAAGGTACTGCCGTTTTTGAAGACTTACACGACTATATGAACTCTTTGGAAATTATTTTGGGTTTACAACCTACAGTTGTATATCCCGGGCATGGAAATGTAGTTCATGTAAGTGTCTATATCGGCTACATTTATTTCTAGATGTCGTTTTTTTGTAACTGGTATTCATATAACATATTTGCTTTAGCATCCCCAAGAAAAGATCCAGTACTATATAGAACACAGAAATGAGCGCGAGATGCAAATATTGTCAACGCTGAGAGATAATCCGTGCCAAATATTTACCGAAATGGATTTGGTCCGTCTTATTTACAGGGACACTCCTGAAAAGATGTGGCGAGCAGCCGCTTATAACGTGAACCATCATTTACTAAAATTGCTGAAGGAGAAAAGAGTTAAGCAAATAGAGAACATGTGGCAAATCACTGATCCTTGTAAAATGTAAATATTGCCGCCTTTGTTATATTTATTTGATTAATTAAATTTTAAGTATTCTATTGTACGGTTGAATAATCTTATGTTAAGGTTATTGTTATAATAAAAAGTTTAACAAATGCGTTTTTTTAATGCAGTTATTTGCATAGTCTATGGAACAACACTAGAAACAGCAAATTTATCAACAATTACAGAGGGCCAAGTGTGTTCTAGGTAGTCTTCGCCCCCTTTTTTTGTGTTTATTACTAATACTTCTTAACTCATCCAAAATATAAACGGCGCAATTCTTAGTCGGTTTTTCACGAACTTTCTACGGATATAACTAGGTTACCGTTGGATGAATGAAGCTGATTTTTTTTACAGACTGATTATAGGTACTACTAATGACTTAAGGGTGTTTCGTTTTTAAATTTTTTCTCTAATTATAAGATTATCTTATTATCTTAACATTATAAGATATCTTATAATTAGAGAAAAAATTTAGAAAAGAAACACTCTCATACTCATTGGCTGTACCTATCATTAGTCTGTAAAAAAAATCAGCTTCATTCATCCAACGGTTACCTAGTTATATCCGTAGAATGTTCGTGAAAAACCGACTAAGAATTGTTTTTTTACGGAGTTATCAAATGTGCGCGATTTTTTAAAATATTTTTTTAAGAACTATTATCAACGTTTTGATACAGAATACAGAATTGGTAGCGCAAGAAGTACCCGCAGCGCCTTAAGTCATATGACCTGAGGCAGCAGACGATCGATTTTAGCATACTCTGATAGGGCAAAATAGAACTCCATCGGTTAAAATTTTGATCACTCTCGCTCAGTGGATTTCGTGCTAGCTCCCCTACTATATAAGCTGTAGATATTCTTTTTTCAATCAGGTTTGCACAACTAAATTATTATTGAAACAATTTGATGTTTCCAGATGACAACAATCCATGATTTATTTACCTGCTTCACATTAACATACAAAATATACAGAGAGTAGAGACTTGTTATAACTAGACCGCTTAACGTATCTAGGGTGTTGTCGACACAGTATGCAACACACAATACACGGCGGGGCAAAAATCGCAGAGATGATGTGCAATACAATGAAATAAGCTGTTATTTTAGATGTTCCGTTCATTAATCATTTTCGTGATTAGCTCGAATTAGTAAAGAGATAAATTTCTGTTGAGAATAAACCAATAAACTTAGGTTAACTCGTGCGTATCAACATGTACTCTGTCGATAAAATTTTAAATAATATGCAGATTTTCAACGGATAAAAGTTTAAAGGGCCAATGGATCAGAGCCATTCAAAGAGAAAAATTTACTCCTACCATCTGCGGGGAATGGAGCCGATTTTCTAAGAAAGGTACCGACGAAGGTATTAAACAATAATGCAATACCGAGCGTTTTCGACTTTCCCATTCACTTAAAATAACGTAGAACTGTTATTCGACATCCTTTACCAGCTAGGTAACGGCAATACCTACTTGCCTATTATAGACGTAAGTAAGTACTGGTACTAAGTATATTTCAGGTTTTGTTACAAGAAAAATAGTTAAGTCTGTTAAATATTCCATATGTACAGATGCGATATTCGCATCAGAGAGTCATTCAAAGCTTTTAACTAGAAAAAATTTTGGAGGATTGTTGCACGTATCAAGCGATGCATTAAAAATTTGATAAATTGCTGAAAATGTGTTTAGGTTTTTCATTCAATCCACACCGCACCGCGTTGTAAACAAAATGGTTATCAGCAGTCACAGCAGTTACAGCCCATTTGGGTCTTTGGATAGGCATATATTGAATCAAAATCCGCTAAATAATCATATCTTTACTACTTACATCTTTAGTTTTAAGAGTATATTTCCACATACGTGTTCACCACCAAAATACACATATATAACCAAATTAGGACTAGAGTAAGGCAGTTATATACCAATTTAGTTCAAATAAAATACCAATAAATTCGAATAAAACAGTTAACAGTTATATGTTATCTTTGTTTGGTACTAAAATCTAGAATAAATAAGGTAAAACAAGCTGCGAGAACGTACTTCCGCCCCGCGATGAACAGTTGGTTGCCTATCCTATCTTGACAACAGGCGCTTATAGTAAAATCTACATTTTTCAACAACTTTAATATTGATTATTACGGAACTATTTTGACTTTGATTTTAAATCTTAAATCATACGCTTGTAGATGATGACGCAGGGCTCTTCTCTTGTGGCGGCGATAATATAACAAGTCTCTGTACATATAGTACAATATCCCACATAAGGTCAACCTTCGCTCATCTATTTACCAAGTGAAATAGATTTTTTTTAGTCGTTTCTCTCTCCCGCAAAATTTCCCACATTTTAGGGCAGTAAAAAATAAAATTTCATTGCAAAATGTTATATTTTCTTCGATACAATTCCATGTTCATATTTATTACATATTCGTTCGTAAATGCATAAAAATCAACTTACATCATCCTTATACACTTCAAACAAACAATTTAAAACTCCAAGTGGATAAAATGATAAGTAAAACTATCTCCTTGGCCGATTGGGAGGGGGCATTATTTCCATATCATCATCAAATCTGTACTTATCAATAAAATGTATTAGTCTTTCTTTAGTAACAGGCTCTCTAATACTGTCACAAACAGCTGGAAATAATCGTGCTAAAAATGAAATTTAAATATGCACAATTAAGTACCTTTAGCGGTTGAATAAGCATTTGGAAATGACTTGTCCGTCCTTTCTCGCATGAACTTCCATTGTTTATTTTCAAATTTACATTCAATAATTTTATTATCTAAGTCTTTTATTTCTTTCGTATATTTCATTACTGCGAATGGTGAATCTAACTGACCTACGTAGAGTTGACCAATCTGCTTAGGTACAATCCTAGAAGAAAATAGCTGTCTCATGTTCATAAGCCAAACGAGTTTGCAGGTTGGTGTAGGTAATTATTGGATAAGGAATAAACCTAACATTATTGGGGGTTTACTGTATGAGCCTGATAATCATGGTAATTTTTTATATTGGCGTGACATATCAGCATATAGCAATAATTAAGAAGTAGGGTAGTTACTTACCCCATTCCTCCCTCCTTGACAATTTTTAATCTAAAATCAACTGAGTTTAGCTCTAAAGGTTTCCATTTTAGAACATCATCACATCTTCCTGCCGTGTATGGCTAGAAAATTAATGGTAATGCCAAAACTGCCATCCTGTTTAATATTTACATCTTTAGAAGGTTGAAAAATAAGTCCATCAGGTTCATGCGACAAAGTTTTTGCAAACTTCTCCCCCAATAAGCTAGCAGCCTGCGTTACATGCCAGAATTCTTTCTTTCTGATACTAAATGGTTCGGCACTTTTGTTAATGTGACCATTTTCCATTGCAATTATTCTAGGTTTAATAATCTCATTATCTATACAATGTAGTCTAATTGGATAAAAGGGCATTTTCCCTACATCCTGCCCTTCAAATTTAATTATGTCGTACGCTAAAAATCTCGGGATATTGACATCACCCACTTTATCGATTACCATTTCCTAAAATTGGAACGGTTAATTTCCAACATTTAACCGTCTCGTATGAATACCCCATCTATGAGAGTGTTCATCAAATGTCTAGCTTCTTTTCGATGTGGAAATTTCAAACCATGTACTTTAAAGACACAATGGTCTCGGTCGAAGAAGTAGACTTCGTCTTCTCCATCAATCAACATTAAATATCTAAATTATAAATTTGGTATGAGGGCAAGCTTAAAGAAAACCTACCTTGTTCCGTCTGCTTTCCACGAGACGCGATATGGCTTTGCGTGTAATAACTTTATATTATTAACGTCCATGGACACAGGTTGTGATCCAGGAAAGCCTTTGCTAATAAAGAAAATAATTAATTAAATACTGTTTATCCAGATTGACATGTTAGTTTCTTATTATTTTTGCATAATTTCTTTAATATGCTAATCGTTTTTTTCGGAATAATTTAAAGCTAGAGGTTTATATTTCATTATTAATTTATTTATTAGGTTAAATGAACAATTAGTGCGGTAATGAAACGTTGTTCATCAATGTGGTACTTAAGAGACTTTTCTTTCTTCATATGCAGAACAAAACAGTGTACTGCAATTGTATCTTACGCTAATCACAAACATATAAATTAATATTAACCAAAGATTAACCTCACTAGATAAAGGCGCTTCTGCTGTTTTAATTATAAAAATATCTTTATATCTAAAATTCTGCTGTACGTGTTTTTGTGACTGAACTCCCCCTAAACAGCTGGACAGATGTTGATAAACATTTTTTTATGTGTATCTGTGGGTCACGGATGGTTTACATTCACAATGGGGCTCGATTATAATATAGGACTTTTTTTTAAACTTCTTTTTTTGTTGAAGTCACACTCTGTCTTTTTGCGAATCGATCGTTACATGCGCATATTTACATTCTGTATGCTGGGTTTCCGTTATCATATATCCGTCAATATCGAGCATACGAAATTGCAGGGGAAAATCTAGTATGTCATAAAAATGTTAAAAAATATCAATTTGCAAATTATATACAAACTGGTGGGTATAACATTGTAACATCTTTATTTGTTATTATTATAGGGTTTCAATGATACGTGGCACAAAACTTCGCACGAATGTATCAGAACGTTTTCATATAAGGTTTCGATAAGGAACCATAGATTCACTTATGAGAAGAGGTTTATAATCAGAACTATCGCACAAGGGCAATTGAAAAGTACTTTACGTTAGCTGACTATCCTCTGAGCAACGTTACAATGAATATTTGAAATCATGAACCGGAGAGTGAAACTGTGCTTTATAACCACGACTGCTTTTAAATAAATGACATTTGATATGTTACCAACATTATAAATTCAAACTGTCCTCAGTTAGTTTGGATCACCTGGAACAGTTATTAATTTGCTCCAGGGATCCCGTGACTTTTATACCGTACAGTCTATTATACTCCGAAACGGAAAATCACACCTATTTTCAAAATATTTTAAAAACCAACAACTTTTCAGGGATTTTCGAACACTACTAAAAATGATTTATATAAAATATCAACTCATGAGTCAACAAAATGGCTGGTGAACGGCGCCTGCGTAGAGATCCGAAAGGAACGCGTTTTCAATAAAAAGGTTGTGGTTCAATTATGACCAAGATGTAAACAGAAAGATCGGAGAACAAGTTAGGCGAAAGTTTATCGCCCTTGCGACGTTCAATAACCAGCTGGAATGATGAACGTTGCTGTTTTTGGAAAAAATATAACGTTCCCATAATCCTGAAATTGGTAAAAAATGTTACTCTATGGCCAGGGTTTTTGTCCAGAAGAAGGTTTTCCTGACATCGCTAGGTTGTGTGCGTAATATATTTTATATGTTCTCGTCTTTTCTTACGCACAAAATTACGAGTTCTTATTTAATTTCCTTTCCCTTTTGTGTATAACAAGAACCTCTAGTTTTAACCACGACTGCTAGCCAGAGTCAAAACTGCCACGAAACGTATGTCGTATTGATATGAAAGTAATGGTGGCTCTCTGGTCGTGAGTATGGGGTAAGTGTTATTAGGAAAAAACAATTAAAATGATTTAAAAAAATTCCCTTTACGTCCAAATAATAATGTCCACCTTGTTAGTAAAAGATTGCGACACAGACAACCTGCAACAAATAACTACCAAAACGTTATTTTGGTAATGGGTCAATAGAAGTCGTTGATGTAATGGGTATCCTACCCACAATGCAGCACTGTCCGTATGGCTACCTACATATATACATATTCTCTTCCATTGATTGCATGATGGTCATGCTATGTAAACATACTCAGTGATAACGTGCGCGCAAACTAAAGAAAATATATAGTGTTAAGTTTTTGGCAGAATACAAAAAGTGAGTAAATGCCATTTAACATAACTTTTAGTGTCGACTTCCTGTCTAAGCGCAAATGGCGCCATTTTGAAAATATTTTAGTCACGGAATATTCAAAGAAGAAAATTCGCTTAGAGACGTAACATAATTACAATACCCACCCAGAAAAACCGCACATCCTCGAAGTCTTTTGTTGAAGATGAAAGGCTTTCGGTTGTTCCATAAAAACCGTTACTCCTGGAACTCCTTCCATGAATACGGGATTTTTTTTAGTCATACTATATTTCATCCTTTTACGAGAAGGTTGAGCAGACGGTTCCGCATCGTACTTTTGCCTAAGACAATAAAGCGTTAGAATAAATTGAACAGCAGGGGTACCTCCTTACGAAGTTCCTTCGTTGGTATCGAAACTTTCCAAAGCTTCTCCATTTGATACATCCTCCTCATCTGCAACATTTTCGGTAATGGCACTTAGACAAAAATTAGCGAACTTACCGAAACACCACTGGGGTAAGTCGGGAGCAGGTGGCGCGTCGTCAACATCATCAAATCGTCTATATAATTCCTGTATATAATCGGTTTTATAAATACCGGGAGGCCTACAATTTACAACTAGACGGGCAGGGGCAAAAGACTCTCTTACCGAACTTTAGCAAAAGTTTCTATGGCGACCTCGACGGAAAAGTCCATTTTTTGAACCAAATAAGAAACGATCAGAAAACCTGTTCGATTAAAACCATGCGTGCAATGTATTGCGATACATTCTAGGGGATAGCTGGAGATAAATTTATGGACTAACGTAACAAAAGCGGTGGTTTGGTCTTCAGAAGGTGCCTCACCATGACCGCGACAATTCAATTTAATGTATTTGCAATTGGAGCTAATCTCTTCTTTGTCATAAAACCTACTTGTATTAGTTAGATCAATCCACAAGCCGATTTTTACCTACAACATTGTGTTAGTGCCAAGTGACTCCGCTATTAAATTATGCACCTTTTTTCGTTTATAGTATTCGAAAACCATACTCGGTGGAAACCTGCATTCTGGTGGAACTTGTTCGTCGAAATCTGTACTTAATGGTGTTTTAAAAGCAATGAATTTTCCGATTATTAAATCTGTCGCTTTACGTGGACAATGTAACCATCGATTTGGTATCTGTCCAGGTCCACGCTTCCTTTTACTCATTTTCCTTTATTTTACGTTTGTCAGGTACCTTTCACTTACAATATAACATATTTTCAATGAAATGTGTTAATAATCGATGCTTAGTATCCTGGTCATTTTCAATCGCACCGGCCACAAAACAAATTATACTAATAAAAAAGACAAGTACCTACACATTTCTGATCGCCTTAAGTTCAAAATATTTAAAGTCAGACGCAAAACAGCAATTGCATCTGACAAAGTGTCAAAGTGATGTCAAAAATCAAAATAATTAAACTGTGAAGGTAGCCACACACTTTTGTTTATAATGTAGCGTTTACACGAGATTAGTCAGTAATTTTACATTGAACGACTAATGTACAGGATGTCGCAGAGGTTGGCTTAGTACCTACTGGACCCTAGCAAATTCGAGATTTATAGATCCCCCAAAAGTCAGCCTTTTCCTCCACTCGTGCCTTCCTCTTTTTTGTACATACCCTCCTCTCCTTTTTCTTCACGCCGCAGTCTATCATTTCCATCCTTCTTCCTCTACTTCCCTTCCGACCACTGTTCTTTCAATCCACAATCTTCTTTTACGCAAACTACATATTCTTCACCTACACTCATTACTTTTACTCTTTTTGGTGCTTATTCAAACCGTACTTACATTCCATTTTATCAAGCTACGCTGCAACATTTCATTCTATTCCTGCGCACTTTCCTCAAAGAAGATATAATGTCGTCAGTACACCGAATTCGTCTCTCTCTCTCTCTTCAACACAAGCTTGTACATTTCCATTCCAGCATTCTTCTGTCGTCTTGGCATATACATACCTGCATTGAATTGTTGAAAAACCCTGCCTAATAGCAGATAGCAGACCAATCCGTTTTCTTCTCCCCAACCCTCTCATTGTCCCATATAAATAGTATTGATAATTAAGCCTTCTATCTCTCAAATCTACTCCTTTATTTTAATATTTTCGTTAAGCTGTTTCATTTTACACAATTTAAACGTCGCTCCATGTTAGCAAAACACACTTTCAAATTTTTTTCCTTCTCCAAGCATCTCTAAACTGCCGTAATTGCGTCTCTAGTGCCCATTCCTTTTTTAAAACCGATCTCTTGCTCAGATAATCCTTCCTCCATTGTTGTGTAGTAAAGAGTACCTACCCTTACTCTGGTGGCATATGATCAAATGTCTAAAGCCTCGACTACGATACAAGCGGTGGGCGACGATCAGCGGCATATATACCAAGCGGCACTGACTACAATTAGTATGCGGCAGACTCTGTTCAATTTAATAGTTGATCGATGCTCTCATCGGAATTTGCTGTTGAGAATGTGTTTGTTCCGCCGGCGAAAGAGAAAGTATTCTGTGCATTCTATCAATAAGTGCAGACGTAGATATGGAGAATATCATCATTTTTTCCACTATTTAAGAAAAGACAAAACCAGATTTTTATATACCATCAGGACGTGTACTGAAGCTTTTGACGTTCTGCTGCAAAGACTAGCACCGCATTGACAAAAAAGAAGAATTGGTCTTCGATATCAAATGTTGTTAAGTTTACAACTCCCTGTTTAACGAATAGTCGTATTGTATTCCTGATGAGGAGGCCAGGGCCGTAGCCAGATACAATTACTTGAGCGGGCAAATACAATTTCAAGTAGGGCAAGTAATTTGACCGGAACTCCGTGATAGTACGTAATTTGAAGGTACGGGTAGTGGGACGACGTATCACACTCACACGAAGGTGTGGAGGATGGACTTACACCTTGAAGTAGCATTCCTTACTCCAAAATGTTTATTTAAAAACAATAAAACCATAAAAAGCCAAAAAAACAGTTTTTATTTCGAAAACCAGAACAAGAAAAGAAAATAAAAGCAACAAAAATTAGAAATTAAAATCAGAATAGTTCCTGAAGCTTTCTATTTTTCCTTGCGTTAAATTTTCGCAATACGTCTTCAACATTTAGTTCTTCAGTTTCGTGCTTCTCAAACGCTAAGAATACTAAATCGGCCATTCTTTGGTGATTCATGGAATAGTGTTGCGGACGATTAATAGCCGTCAGTGTAGAAAAAGTCGATTCACAGGCAGCAGTGCTACATCCAAATGTCGCCACTGCGGCAAGGAGTTGATAGGTGTCTGAAAAGGCTTCTCGATGTGCATAAATTAAATCAAACACATTGCTCGAAGATTTCTTTTGCACATAGCTTCGCACTACAGCTAATTCTTCTTTACTGGGTATGGTGATTCCTAATAACAAATTATAAGTAAGCATTTGTAAATATAAGAAATTTATACTTTTACCTAGTCCAGAAAAATATTGCAACTTTTCAAAATCGAATTCCTCTACAGTCGCAACAGCCGCAATTAGTCCATCGTGTTCTTCAAAGCGTCTTTCCATTTCTGATAATACCATATCAATTGCTTCATAGTAGCCACTTCTAAGATTAGTATCAGAGCTTGTGCTTGAACTTGAATGAGGTAGTTGTTCTGTGACAATGTAATCATCGAAATTGATGGGTTTTCGTTTTCTTTTTGAGTTTTCTGTATTCGCATCTGGCAGAAGTTGTTTAGCGTCTGCTAATAAGGAACAATAATTTTTCCGTAACAGTGGACTTGATAATGGATAAAGCTGCTGTTAGTCCAATGGTTCGAGTTTGTAAAGCCGCATCTGCTGGATGTAGAAGTGATAATATTTTGTTGGCTAGTAGCAATGCGAAACGAAATTCTATTTTTTCAATAACTACTTGCAAGCCAATACTTTTAGCAACATCAAATCCATTAAAATTCCCTTTCTGAATTACTTGCAGAGTTTTCAAAATTTCTTTATAATTTGATAGAATGACTTGTGCTGCTTTTAAATGTCCCGACCAGCGCTGTTCTAACAAACGACCGATCGTTCTTCCTTCATATATTTCTGCCACTTTTGCATGACGAAAAAATTCGTGGAGTAAAATCACTGATCAAAAAAGTGGTTGAGCATTGTGATTTCTGAAACTGTTTTTACTACAACAAGTGTAGTCGGTGATTGAAGCAGTGGACATACGGAACAGTTCTTTGAAGTTTGTTCTGAATGTTTGCCGCAACTCCTCCTACTCTGCCACTCATAACACTGGCTCCATCATAGCACTGACTGAGCAAGTGCTTTGTATCAATATTATTTTTTTGTAAGACTTCTAACGTTTCTGCAGTAAAAGTGTTCGCATCCAATTTTTTTGTTGTGATTATTTGGAGAAGCGATTCCCTTACCTTTCCATCTTTTACATACCTAATGCCAATTGCTACATTTTCACGATTATTCCTATCTTTGGTTCCATCTTCTAGTAATGTAAACCACTTAACATCCGGCGTTATTAATAGAATTTGCAATATTGTTTCTAACCACTTCTGCCATTACTTCAATTATTTCGTTTTGTATTTCTGGTGATGTATAAATGGCGTTTCGGGGAATATGTATTTGGCATTCGGCCAAAAATTTATCCTTCCGTAGAGTATACTCAAATAATTTATTGAACAAACCCCTTTCCATATGCTCCTCTAAATTGTAATTTCCTCTTAAGGCCAATTCGTTTACAACTAAGAATTGTATAACCTCTATTATTGATTTCATATAGTATCGATGCTTTTCTAAAACTCCAGAGCTGACAAGTGTTGATACTGACGTGCAGGAATTTATTCTTTGATTTCTTTCTGTCCACAGTGCCATAGCGCGAATATGAGTCTCAGATTTTTCATGCCGAGAAAATCCTCTAACATCAAGAGCGTTTTTCCAATTTTTAAACCCACTACTTGTAAATGCAACTTCTTTAGTACCATGTGGCTGAAATTGCATACAGGCGTAACAGTACGCTGCATCGCGTTCCTCTGAATATAACAACCAGCTAAATCGACTATACCATTCAGATCGAAAACAACGAAAATTTGTCTTGGGGTAATTCACAAGTTTTGTTTGTTTTATAGGTTCCCCACGTTTAGGCAAATCTTGAGGAACTTCTATGTTTGTTGTGTTTTGTGCAGTATTTGCGGTCGTAGGAGTTACTGTTTCGACAGTAGTTTTTGAAGGAGATTCGTCGGGTAACTCCTGTAACACGTCCTCTCGTTTTTTAAAGAAATTTCTAATATCCATTGCTCCGGCAGAACAGAACAGAGTTGTAATGAAAAGAACTAAACTGTCTACGTGTTTCCGTAGTGTACGCAACACCTTTTTTTTTTACTAAAAAACTTAATTTTAACACTTCCAATGTACAAATTTAAGAAGACGCTCCGGTAGCTCCACTTTCCACTAATACCAGCAGCAAACAGAACTAGAACAATAAGTATACCCGCAATATGTCGCCGCCGTGCGGTGGCGGCAGCGTGGCGCGCGCGCTTTCTCCACGCTCTTATCTCTAGGTAGACTACTAAACTGTGGAATGAAGACTCATCGACTAGATGCATTATATATAATAAAATTATGTATAAACGATGACCGCGTATAAATTAGGGAATGTAGAACTACATCCGAGACTACATCTTATTGATTTATTTCTGCATCAAGTCAGTACTTGTATTAAAATAAACAGTTCTATTGCTATTCAATCAGGGCGGGCAGATTATTTCCCAGAGCGGGCAATGCCCGCTCTGGCCCCTCCCTGGCTACGGCCCTGAGTACCATGAGTCATTTGAACAGACGATGGTGGAAAGATGTGACTGACAAAAAGCATTCTTCACTATGATGATGTAAAAAACTCTCATTCTGGTTAGAAAAACTGGCAGTAGTCATACTGCGTATTGTTGGACACGCGTGGGTTTGTAGACTCAATAATACTGAAGTCTGAAGTTGTGATCGCAGTTTCAGTTTTTTCCAAGGATCTAGTTTCTGTATAAAAAGCATTAAACTCATTAAACATTGAAGATAATCATTGGGTGTTAAGCTGATGATAGCTAGTTATTTTGGTATGTATAAGGATGATTTAAAAAATTTGTACAAACTGTCTACAGAGGGCTCCAGATTGCTTACATTACCCAGAAACCACTTTCAAAGGTTTAAAACTTCAGGAAAGGGGCCATAAAGTTCTAGTAACGCATTTTTCTATAAATAAACCTTTTAGAAACACTTATGAAAGGTTCTGGGGAGCGTTCAGGTTCATGAATCATTTCTTCTTATTATTACTATTCAATTCGTTTCAGGTAGGTACATATACTGAAAGATTTAATTACTTAAGTGTTCCATAATCAAATGAAAAATACCGTTGAATAAATTATTCAATGAAAATACCCATCTACTATTTATAGAATGTATTAAGATAGGTACCTATAAAAAATGTTTGCTGGGATGTAATAAATAAGCCAGTATAGTAGGTAGGTATATAGGGTACTCTTTATTTTTACATTTACAATTTCAGTCTTGTGCTTACGTTAATGGATATACCTATATATACATAAAACTTAAATGGACCTATTTTAGTAACACATAATCTAACAAAATTTAAGGGACAATGGATACCACAGTCATAAAAATAATATATAATTTAGTAAGAAGTATTGCAGATTAGCTGTGATTTCATGGTTTTTGATTGTTAATTAGGTACCTTCATCTACCCATACGTTCAGCAACTCCTTTTAATATTTGAATGAGACTATAGAAAACAAATTAGGTACAACATTTGCTCATATAAATATAACAGTACTATTTTCAGATTAAGGGTCACATATTTTCACCTAACAGTAGTTACCTACATTGGTGCAGCAGATCAATGATTGCATCTACAGTGGCATCCATGGAATTGGAGGTTAACGGAAGTGAAAATACAGAACTATCTCCTAAGAGAACTAGCCAGATAACATATTGGTATGTATAAAGGCACACTGTTGTGAAAGTTCTAGAGTTCTTAGAGCTGCTAACTATTTAGGCTAGTCTGTAAAACATTTCACTGTAAAAGTTATTGGCAGTAGGCATTCTGCATGTTAAATATTAAGTGTTAGTGTAAAATTCGTTGATTATTAATATACTTTTAACAAATATAAATTCGTGGTTACATTATGCAAACACCTAAGAGTTGAGCTTAGTATGTTTCCAACTGTATTATAAACTTCAGGTTTAATAAAAAAATTGCCTAAACTGATTTAATGAGCAACCCATATGGAAGAACAAAACTTATGGATATAACTTCCAAGGGTTGCACAACAAAAGGGTTTTTTATTAACTTGGTTCTAATGCATGTGTTGCTTTTTCTGTATTTCAGATGGTTTTTGTTATGTATTATACCTCAATTGTTAATTGACTAGTTAGGTACTGCATTAATGAACTCTTTAATTTTTACTGTATTACCTACTATCTGTTCTTTATATTAATATACCCTGTATTTCACAATGAATGTCAGGGTTTCAATGCATCACAATATGTTTAATTTAGGTATAGCGTTTTCGATTGGCAAAACTCGTGTTGCACAAGTGCAATTTTTACGTTCTATTGGTAATTTTAGGGCAATTTTCTGTGTTCCATTGGCAAATGTGATGCAACAATTACGCACTCAGTGCAAATTTCGACGCACGAGGTCCGAGAGCTCGTGGAGCTGCTAGTTAACAAATTTTCAAAACAAACGTGCGACAATTTGAATTTGTTTCTTGCGTTGGGAGAGTTTTTTGTCGTCATCTAGCGATAGCGAGGATGATGAACTAGCCATAACTTCTATTTTACAAAAAGTTGCACTTACTCATTAAACTGAACGCCAAAAATTGGTCCTTTATAGAAATTTCAAATTTATATTCCTCATCGTTTATCATAAATAATACTGAAATCGTTTGTTAGTTTTTAGAATAGAGATTTGTCAATGAATAAAGAAAGATTTGTCGATTACCTAAATCTAAAATGAGGTTATGGACAAATGACAACAAATATTTACGAATATTTATGTTCCATTCAGAGCAATTTTCACATGGATTTCTTCAGTTTCTCGTGCAACACTCGTGCAGTACGAGTCTTGCCAATCGAAAACGCTATTAGAAAGCTGGCCGGTTTATGTTTTTATTTGCATAAGTGTTCAATGTCAATTCATTTTCTTAAATCCGGTGCGGAGGTACATTTTCACAAAACCCTTGATGAATCCCGCAGAGACAAAAACTATTGTTCCTGCCAGTATAATTCATCCTCACTCATTTTAGTAAAATTGAGGCAGTGAGCTATTGACAATTTTTTTTATTGATGAAACTTTGGCAACTTAGCCCGTGAGAAGCTTAAAATTTGTTGGTGGTTTCACCAGTGAGAAATGACGGACAATAAAGCCATTGGTGTTTATTACCGATACTTAAATCTATTTGTTTGCCTTACCTTTATTTAAAGTTTTACGTGTACCAACTCAATTAAGTCGTAGCCTACCGATAGAACTAGCCGTGACACTCATCCCCACTATTGCGTTGACGTCACAACTGACGGCGGCCGTCATATCGACTTTTAATGTAATTAATTCCAAGTAGTTTAATGTTGTACACTTAAATTAACTGTATTCGAACAGAATAAGTAAGAAAATGCCAAATACGTGCTGCGTCCCTGGTTGCAAAAGCAATTATAGTTCAAGAGACAAGGTTCCTTACGGTTTTTTGTTTTCCGAAAAATGAAGACGATCAAAAAAAGTAGTTAAGATGTATTCACCGGGACAATTTTGAAATTACTAGTTACTCCAGGGTTTGTATAAAGCATTTCTCCGACATTTTCATTATTCGGGTAGACAAGATGACTAGATAAGACGATACAGTATTAACAGTTCCACGAGACCAGATTAAACTTGCCGAAGACACGTATCCCACCATTTTTGAAAATCAGCCATCATATATGAAAAGGATGTAAATGATGAGTTACGGGAAAATATAGACCTTTGCAACTACAAATGACCGAAAATCTGTAGTCTCTAGGTGGTCCAGGGGCCGAGATCTCGATGGAACAGACTAGGCAGACGACGGAATGACGAGCACATAAGCATTACCTCAACTTCGTTGTGTTACGCTAAAAAAGGCAGATGTGTGTATTAGAATGTTTAAATTTGATTTGTTTTCAGCTCGGTTTTCAGTGAGTATTTGTTGTTTATGTACGTATTTAATAAAATTTTTGCATAATAACACGTGTCTATAATTAGGAAACAACATATAACAATCCTGCGGGTCAAAATAAGTAATTACTTAATGTTTTCGCGTTAAATGAGTACGCACGCGAATCAAATTGCATTTAAACACATAGTATCGCGTTGCAGTGGCCCATCTCCAGTTGTGACGTCACTAAATCAATGTCACGGCTAGATCTATCGGTAGGCTACGATTAAGTCCACCCTAAACTTGCACTAACATCCAAGTTACATCTTATAGATATAACGTTGACCCTTAATGAGTTTTGTACAATATTAAAAAAAAGAAATTCGGAAAATGAAACTTTTCTCTCGATAGAGCTAGGTAAAACTAATTATTTTAACTAGCCTGTATTAGCAACATATGTAACTATCTCGGCAGTTGGAAAGTTCATGTTAGGCTATACATTGTTTTTGTTCCTATAAGTACACTGCCCATACAAAGAAATCACCACTGCTTTACCTAACTGGACGTCTGATTGTATAGCTACTTAGAAAGACAATGATCAAACTGGCGTGTAAACCTACCATTATATAAGTGGATAAGTGTGTAGGTCCTAATCAGCAAAAATAGTGTAGGTCCTATCCAGCAAGAAATGTTTTGATTATAAAAATATAATCTATAAAAATTAAAAAAACATTGGAAATGTTGCACGTCACACAATAAATAGGTACATGTACTATAAATGCAACAACAAAAAGGTAAAGGTATACACTTATATTAAATAATAAACAAAAGACTTAAATAGCTATTGTTCCTTTAATTTATCTAACTTTCGTTGTTGTCGTTCCTGGCGCAAACGTTCTCTTAATTGCGCTGTTTTTAATGTTATCATTAACTGCCTCGACTGCCATAACCAGCTGCCCTAAAATAAAAGAAATATTAATTTCTTATATAAGATAAGAGCTAAAATCATCGATTTCGGTGTTATGTCTATGTTATAAATAAAAATGCTGGCATTACATCGTCATATTGTTGCTATTATAATCAATAAACATTATTATTTATCAGCTTGACACTTTAACTTGTAAAAGATAAGGGATAAGGAATCAGCAGTAAATAAACTTAGATATTGATATAGTTCTGTAAAGTTGAAATGCTTCCGGAAATGTCTCTTGGAGTGCTCTTAAAAGAAGGTTGGCATGACAGACAGACAGCAATACAAAATTATAAACATTCTCAAAGATCGTTAATAACAAAACAACGGAAAGTGCTAAAGGTGTTTTGGGGTTTTCCCAAGACTGCTTGATAAGTGAGGCGAGGCTCTTGAAAAGGCACACTGAGGCTTTCACAACCTTGTAGGCAAAATTTCAAAGATCTATTGGACCTTTGCAGAACATTTCATCGCTTTCATCAAGTTTCATAGAGCTTTTGAGCTCTGTCTTAAGCTCTTTGGACCCATGTAAAAACTCCTTCCGTAAATATCGAAAGTGTCGCCATCTTAGCTTTTTAAAATAGAAACATACCATATTTTCTTCTAAAAGCGTTTTATTCATCTGAATTCAACCTAATTAAGATTTAAGTACTTTGTATGTCACAGTTTTTGACATAAATGTCAATCGAGATGTCAATGTTTCTCTAAAAATTTATATCACTTAAACCGTTTAAGGTATAGGGTAGTGCTCTCTTTTATAATTTAATCCTCTAAGGAATTTTTTGAGCTATCGTCGAAAGTCTTGAAAAAGTGTCCAGCGCTGCTGCGATTTTTCAAGGTCAGCAATCAAAATGTGTCAAAAACTTCAGTTTTCCAAATTGCAACTACTATGTATTTCTGATGCAACAAATGAAAGTAAATTTAAATTTTAGGACCACTTTTATTAGCATTCTGTATGCCTACAATTGGACGATTAATTTGAACATCCGAAATTAAATGATTGCTTCTAAAAAATGCCCATAACGAATAACTACTATAGCTCTATACAGAATGTAATAAAAGTGACCTTAAAATTTAAATCTATATTCATTTCTGGAATCAGAAATAGTATTTGCAATTTGAAAAACTGCAGTTTTTGATTGCTAACTTTGAAAAATCGTAGCAGTCATGGAAACTTATTCAAGACTTTCGGCAGTCACTAAAAAAATTCCTTAGACTTTAAGGATTCGATAATAAAAAAAGAGCACTCACTTATCTTGAAGTGTTTAACGGATAAGAATTTTTGAATGGACCCTTGCATCTCCAAATATTGACATATGTCAAAAACTATGACAGATAGGTAATGAAGTGATCCACTTTATAAACACTTGTTAATTAATAATCTCGTTATGAATTATGCAGTAAGAATCTTTAACTTTAACTGGAATTTTAAGATAGAAATAATGAATGAGGGCATGTTTTGTAACTTCCAGACGAAAGTTATTTACGACCCCCGTTTATTTTAGACCCTCGTTATTATAGTAATATGCGTAACGTGAATTTCCGAATAACCAGTTTTTTTAAACAAAATAGTCACTAACAATACAGTTTCAAAATCGACGACATTTACATACTATGTATGTCTTATGGTAATAATTCCATGGCGGTGTTGATGGTGACTATGTGAGAAAATGAATGAATAAATTTGGTTTCAATCACAATCGGCCATGGAATTATTGCCATAAAGCAATACATTGTAAACTTCAAGGTAAAAATTCAAGATTAATTTGCAAATGAAATATTAAGTATTTTGGTAGCGCCGATTTTGTAATTTTCTCTTTATCGAGTGACGTAAATGGTAATGTGGCGTCCAGAAGAAATAATCACATCAACGTATGGTTTACTAGAAATCCACAAATCATAAACATTTTATTTTAGCACCAACAGAAAGCTGAGAAAAAATCAATAGGGCTTTGTTAATAGTATATTAAGATACAAGTGTATAATCAAGTCTTTGAGTTTAGTGCGCCGATTTTGTAGTATATTTCTCTTTATCGAGTGACGTAAATGGCCATGGAAATGTGGCGTCCAGAAGAAATAATCACATCAACGTATGGTTTACTAGAAATCCACAAATCATAAACATTTTATTTTAGCACCAACAGAAAGCTGAGAAAAAATCAATATTTGAGTGCTTTGTTAAAATTATTTTATGATATCTTTGAAAATAAACGAACGCCAGTGCATTTTCAAAAATGACATTTTTTGCTATTTGTAGAGCTACAAGAAACTTTGAAAGGGAAAATTAATCAGCATAAAATTCTAAATAACGCATTTAAAAGAGCAGGTATCTCTTATGGTTTAGGAGATCTTCACAGTGAAAGTGAAAAAAACTCACCCTGTATAGTGCAACTGCCAAGCTAATATCTAACTAAACATGAATGAATTCCATGGTACGAGTATAAGCCCAAAACTCCATTTTTCGGATTTTGTTTTCTTAATCAGCTTAAAGGTCAGTGCCGGATTAATTCACTTTACGATTTTGATATATAATTCTAAGTGCAGACTCTCTAAGATAAGACGTAAGCCAAAGATCAGAGACATTAGATCCGAAAAATAGGTACCAAAAGTTTCAAAATTTGAAATTATTCCGATTTTGAAAAACTGAAAACAGTTCACTCCCAAAGTACGAAACACATCTCATCGAAATTGTGACTACTGCGCATTAATTTAATCTAGAACAACAAACAAAACCCTGTATAGTAGACAACTGTTTCCAAGCTTAAAATTTAAATAAATCCAATACAGACACGCAATAATCTACTGATAACCCTGCTTATCATTTCCTATCATGGTCATTAACCTTAATAGTTTTGTTCCACTGGCAACAATTACTTGTACCTAATTCAATTGCTGTCGATATTTTCAGTAAAGGTGACTACACACCTAAGAACCATCAACTCTGTTGACCTCTCGGTTGACCTTCAGACGAACAACATAACAAAAGTTTAATGGGTGCACTTACCATCATTATCATACAATTTAGTAGTATGGGAACAGAGAAAACAACCGATATAAATAACCCTCGGCTGTCGAAATACTGTTGCCTTGAGAATATTTTCCAATTTGTTGAGGCTAACTGATTTATATTCTCAGAAAAATATACCAATAATACTGAAAAAAATAGAAAAACGTAGTAGTGCGCCCGAAACAACACTCTTACCCACTTAAACAGAAGAATAGTATCGCCTGAAAGTTTCCATAATTCCTCGTCGAAATGGCCATGAGCGTTACGGATACGTGGAAAATGCAAAGACCAATTAACCAAGGATCTCGCCAGTCAATCTGAAATAATAGTAAATGTAGTCAATTGTGCTTTTTATTAACGAAATAACCTATACATATTTTCAATATGAATTTCACCCTCTTGTAAAGAAATTAAATAGTTTTTTGGAAAAGTTGGTGCTCAAGTTAATAACGAAATGTGGAGCAAATATAAGGTAGGTATTCATAAGTATTAATTCCGAGATTAATTCATTTATTTTATATATTTACTTATTTATCATTTATTCGGTATTCGGTTCATAAATACAGGGTATTTAACAACGGGCTGAATCGATTATTATATGGGAAGTTAAAAAAAGCCCATTTTTGTAAATGGAAGCCCACATTTGTTTGTTTACCAATAGATTCTACACTCCAAAATAGGGGTATGTACTTTAATATTGTATCTCTATATCTTAAAGGAATGGTTTTTTTCTCTGTTTTTTTAGAAAGGGCGAGACACGAAAATTTGTCAAGATATTGCAACATTTACCAATCATCCACACTATCAATAGCAACTGTTTCTTGATAGTTTTCTTAAATAAAAAGCCTACAACCTAATAATTAAAAATGTGAGAACGCCAACGGTTGTACAATTTTTGTTTCGTCACTTTCTACAAAAACTTTTCATTTTAGACGAGATTTTAGATACCTACCTATACTGGAACGTTTCCAGTGCCATTCCATTAGTGAACAGAAAAATAGAGGTTTCCGTTTAAAAAAAGTAAGTTTTCACATTTTCAAAACTTACAAATTTGAATTCACCCAAGTTTTATTTACGCAAAATAAGCAAAAATGAAAATTAGGGTATCCCGAAGTGTAACCGTGCGAGTCAACGTTAGGTATATCCCGAAGTCGTACAAAACAGAAGCTATCTAAGCTGAAATGGACTCATTGAATAAACATTCTATTTTTAAAATTGGAACGTCTCTTCAAACAGGTCATATGTGTATAATGCAATACAAACAGAACAGAAATTAATAAATTGGGTGATGATCCGGGCCGTAAGGGTGCCAAGCTCGGTGCCAAGTATTGACGATTAAATCGTAATTAGATCATATTTAATTATATGGGTTTACGGAAACAAAGGCCGATGTTGTACCTACTCATAAAAACAGACGTAAAAATATGCCACTCGTCACGATTTTCCTTTGCAAAACCCCAGTCGTTAAACGTGTGATGGTATTTTCCTGCTGTCTGTTCCACGTCTAACTCAAGAACCAAAAAAGACAACCCTCCGCAAATAGATCTCTACGAGTTCAAGGATCAGTGCTAATGAATATATGAGCCCGATTAAAAGTCGTGTTTCCGCGTACATTCAAAGGTGGCCATACAAAATAAACACGTGTAACAGAATAATTAATTCTTACGTCACCGATTGATTTCCTTTCAATACGAACAGAAACTACTTTAATTTGTAATTTAATTTGGGACAGAATACTTTTTGTAATACACTTTCGTTATATCTGATAAAGCAGAAACGATCCTTAGAACATGAAGATCCAACTAGAAAAATTTGTCATATACTTACACCTTATATCTCGCCTTATATGCACTCAATCCGTGGGGGCACACCGTATGTATAGTAGCAATAGTCGCTTTAGGAAAGTGCCTGACATCAAATAATCAAAAGGTGGTTCAGGGACAGAAAAGTATAGCCACAGATTTAAATATTTAAATCTGTGGTATAGCACTCGCCAATTCAGTTGACGTAGGTATTTTTTAACACCCGCACGTTAGTACGAGGTAATGCATTGGGGTAAAAAGGCCCCCTCTCCACTTTTTTGACGGGAATGCAGGTTTTGAAGCCCCAGGAATCTAAATTAAAAAAACCGATGATGTCGGTCTGTCTGTCTGTGCTGTTATTTCCGGCGACACTAAGTACTGAACCGATTAGAACCAAATTTGGTACACATATTCTTAGACATAAAAGAAGAGCTGAAAAGGGTAGAACCGTGCATGGGCAGGTGTACAGTCGCTTCGGCATTCTACCCTCTACCGTCGACTCTAGAGCGATAGCGGATCCAGCTTGAGACGCGCTAAAAGAATTATTTGGATCTCACTTTGGAGCATTGGACACAATCATCAACTTTTTGCACGATAATTTAAAGGCACTTGGGGTCACATTAGAACTGCCGATTGTTACGCTTTAAATGCGGAGCTTGAACTTTTATTTACAATTTTAACAAAATGATTTTCAAAATCTCATCAGAATAGCTGACCTGAATCGGAAATCATTATTGCCTCTCGCAATCAAATCAAATGCATCCTAATCATTGGCCTGCAACTCGGTCTGCAATGAAAGACTGTTATGTTAAAATAGATGTTTTAACTCATACAAATGTATAAAGATTTTCTTTTTAATTAAGAGGCTAATTATTGAAGTAAGTATTGTAGTCCCAATGAGCACCATACTTACGGAGTCATTCGAAATTTGTGTATATATCTTAGGTTTCCTGCAAAAAGAAGATAATTCGTGGAAAGACAATCTGACATGTCATTAATAAAAAGAAGAAATAGAAGCGGACCTAAATTGGATCCCTGAGGACCTCCTAATGATGCAACAAATGTAGACGACTTAAAGACGTTAAACGCTACAAATTGTTGACGATTAAGTACAAAGAGAATATATTAATTAACACCACAGTCTACACTCTAGAACAATCTAGGCTACCGTTGTCGCTGATCGTGACAAAAGTGAAGAAATCTTAATCATTTGTAATACCGAAACAAAACTAATTAAAGTAATATGTTACATTTAACGAGTATTTTCCGCTATTCTAATTAAATAAATGATCTTAATGGCCGAATCCACAAATTAACACGTAGGTATTTGATTTCCTGAATCAATCGGCCATTGTTCTCCAACCTAAATGATGGAAACCAAAACCAAAGTAGGCAATGGCGTCTGCACCTGAGAAGATGGAAAGTAATGATTTAAAAGGGCCAATATAACTTGTTTTGAAACTTGAAACTTTGACATATGCCTGGCGTCGCCGCCTCTCCCAGGATTTAGTCAACTGTCGTGAGGATGCGTCCCTGGTAGGCACTATCAGGGACGTTTCACCACTACTTTGTTGCCATCGCGCTGGGCCGCGACATATGCCAAACAATGTGGTGGAGTTTGTGGATTGGGGGGGTTGTGGGGGGGCGGCTAACTGGGTGTTATCCGACCCGAACGGGTACGGCCACAGCTTCGCCACTGGTATTCTGCCTTAGAGGGAACTCTGCTTTCTAGTGATAGCTTCTTCTCCTGGCGTTCATTGTCTTCCGATGTTCCTATCCTTTGAGGGCCAATATAACTTGTTTTCGAACATAAATTTCCAAAACATTATCTATGAGCGAGTTTATGAGTAATCGGCGTAGGTACTCTGCATCGACACTACGCGGGTCGGATTTAGACCAGTAGAGTAAGCAAACAAGTCCAGGAAGTATCTTACTGTATCTGAATCTATTATTGTGGTTAGCCCATTTTGTGTAGATTACTAAGAAGATAACACATTCACGAGACTATGGAGATACCAGTTTTTTTTAAATTAACAAATCACCAAATTTCACATATTTAAATAGAGACCCGTGTACGGAGGATCCATTTGCAAAGGAACTCACTAACAATGACACGTGTTAGTAATGCAAAAAGTTCTATCAACTCGATGGCCAGCGCACATAGCATGTCATTAAAATTTAAAGTCCCTGAATCCTTTGTTTCACTTTTCTTCAAGAATGTGGGGTTCCCCAGAACTTAACAAAAAGTTTGCAAGTGAATTCGGTTTATGCGAGGGTTTATGTAAGCTTACTTCTCTTGTCAGTTACCCTAGACGTGTGTCAGACATCGTTTAGTACGAAATTTTGGACTATAGTGCGATTTTTAGATTAATGTTTGGGTATTTGGGTATTTTAAAGAATCTAAACCAATCGAAAGAATGTTATGCGAATGGATTTCATCTCGGATTTCATTTAAAGTGTGCTAATTGCGAATAGTATGTAGGTACTACCCTTGGTACTACCTGACCCAGATAAAACGTAATCTAAAATTACATACTGATAATGCCAAATTACGAAATCATACAAATACCCTCAGATGTAAAATGAAACAACATATTTTAGAAATCAATGGCTAGTGGCGAAATAAACTGTTAACACCCAAAAAGGGAGAAGGGTCAATTTTGAGTATGAGCCAAGATATTTGTTCTATGGCAAAGACCATGTGCACATACCTTTAAATTGTATTACGGTCACTGCAAAAGCATGGAGTAGCTACCCTTCGCATTTATAGCAACGCCGGTGATCGGATTCAGATACAATGCAATGCCGATAACTGCCGTCGATCCACCTTATCAGCAACCTAAAGTAGGTATTATTTATGTTTCCTCGTGCGTTTTATTGTTATGCTATTTTTAGCCAGCAACTACATTATAAGTAATCACGTGCGCAAGCCAAAATCTCGGCCAAAACTGTTGATAATTGGTTCTGCACGACTAGTTTGCTCTGATAGTATAATTTTTGAGACAAGTTCTTTTTACTCATATAGGTGATAGAAAAGACGAATAATGTGAGGACTTTGTCCATTGTCTATTAGACAACCTAGTAAATTATTTAAAAAAATGCATGTGGTTTTTAAGTAAGTACATGTTTTGCGAACAATAATCATAAATATTAACACCTTGATGATTGACCAGGTATATTCATTGTTTTGAAAAATGATACCTTTCTTTGATATTTTACAAAGTATAATACCTAGTTCTCTACACGAAGCATTTTAAGAAAGTACCCGGTCTGTGCTTCATTCACTTCTTTTATTTATTATCCGTTACATGCTATGGAAACGTTGGTGCAAATAGACCTGGATATAGACAGTATTTAGAAAAATATAAAAGGTGTAAATTAGAGGTAAAGCCTTTGCAAACATATAATAGAATCAAACTACACCAGTATCTATCTTTCATGGTTTCTGACATATGAAGATGCAGGGATCAGGGGTCCATTCAAAAATTTATATCTCTTTAAACTGTGCAAGATAA